ACTATCAGGTCTAGGATCAACCGGTTTTCTGCCTATCTATCCGCAGATGGCTGGGTATTCCTCGTTGTTTCAGTTGTTTTTCTGCTGTATGTATTGTTTTGCATTATTTATTAATAAATCCCTTTCGTGATTTACTTCTCTCGTTGCTTACTCTGAAAGAACACAATTTCTCTGGCTGGTTTTGTGATAACGTCTGTCGTAATATCCTGACTCCGTAAAGGAAACCTCAACGCCCTCAATATCAACAGAAAGTGTTCAACTTTTTGAAAAGTACAATTAAATTGTACTGCCACGCAAATAGATAGCAATCATTCGGCGGGTTAACAGTGCGCGGTTCATAAAATCAGCAGCTTTGATCCTTTAATAACTTTCTGGTGTACTGTTTTTACCTAAATAGTATGTACTTCAAATTCGGTACGCTAATAGGTACGATGTTAAATGAGGTATTCAATTTTCAAAGACATTCTGCTCACAGGTTTTTCATTGAATGCAACCTTCAAGATCCTTCTTAGTTGAGTTTTCCGAAAGGTTAAATCAACGAGAGAAACGCAGGTTTGGCGCCAAACTTAACAACATTGACAATCTGCTACGAACGACTAGTTCATATCGCTATTTAGCTACAGTGATTTTGCGGCAACTTAGTGGTGGAATCTCACTTGCTTCATTACAGTAGAATGCGTTGCTGGTTTTACATTCTTGTCATTACAGACCTTAAGCGAGTCCGAAGTTTCACTTAGCCAAATGCATATTTCGTAAAGGTATGGGAATTAAAACGAATGACAAGAATTAAACATTATTAATACGTGCATGAACTGCAAAATGAGAAGCAACTAACTCTGCACCTTGTTAATGGAAACAGCAGCACAGGTGAAATCCGTTGTCCAAATTGTCGTTATATGTTTCTCGTCAAGCAAATGGATAATCTTTAAATGTTCTTTATTTTCCTCTTTCTGCCTCCAGTGCTAGCTTTTGTACCACCCACTGATCTTTGATGGTTGGGAAACACGGCTTGTAATCAGCTATTCTAGGGGAGTAACTTGATTTGCCGGTTTTCAGTTGGAATCGCAGACTACCAAAATTTAGACTTTGATTTTGGCGAGGAAGTGTACGTGTATTTCCGATTCCACAACTTTTTTTCATGAGCAGTGCAACAGTTCAAATGGATGACCTGATGTTGTTCAAGAAGTTGAATTTTAACAGACTGACCGTGAGTGAACTCAGTTGAACATGAAACTGCAGACACTAACTGACCGTTATAGTGTCACTAAGACACTCCTCTGGCCTCGCGACGCTTCCGATATGTAAAATTGTATCGCAAGTCCTGAGGATTTATCATAGGTGCAGAAGACAATCAAAACAACTTCATTCTTCTGTATTTGTTGTTACAGTTTATTTCAAAAATTTATTACTGTCGCGTAAGTTTCGTTGTACCGTTCGGTGGCTCAGACTGCAAATAGATCAGCAGGACAGTGCAAAGTAAGCCTGAATGGCCACCCTACATAAATTCAAAGTCAACATCTCGTAGAAGACAGAGAAATTAGCCTCTACGATAATGATTAGGCAGGGTGGATTCCTAATTGCTTCTGATTAATAAACATTAGCGCGCCAAACGATGCGCATAAATGAATATGATGAAGAAAATCTGTACTGTAGTAAACGATAGGAATCGTAGAAGTATTTCTGTTGTTTCGCCTCCTCAGTTTCGAAAGTTCTGTCCTCTGGACAACTACTGCCTTTACGTGGAAAACAGATTGATATGAACAGGTTGTTGCACCTCGTCTTTCTACCTGCACATGTAAAATTCGTATAAGAATGGCTGATGTGAAAGAATAGCCAGGACATGAAACCACTAAAAAGATTATTGAGGCATCGAGGTGTTACAGATGAATGGTAGAATGGGGCAAACTCTACTGCAATTAAACCCTTATTGAGAGCTTTGCTGACATTATGCTTCACAATGGCAACTGCTTATCCCTCTCTGCTCACCGTGTTTATTTTCAAACCAGATATGAACTGCTAGCTAATATCCGAAAGAGAATAGTTTCGCAGTATTTTCTGGCTGGTCAGAATTTACTACCATACATTTTACACTTATGAGGCGAATATAGCTCGAAATGATACTACTATCAATATCACGATATACCTATATTCAAATGAGGCGCCGATCATATGGGGAACATGACTGTGATAACGGAAAAGAGGTGGCAGAACAATATACCAATTTTCCTTCTTTTACTCAGTGTGCGACGAGAGTCAATCAACCCCACCAAACTTTAAAGGGTAGCTCTAAAGCCTGGATTTCCACTCAATATTAACCTGTTTCATTCCAGAACTGAACAGGGCACTGCCGGGCATACTATCATTGGTGTGGTTGCAATTGAAATAGCATCGTATATGCCAAGGTGACCTCTGATCCTCAAAAACTCAGCAAAGAAAGGCAGCGAATCGGGTGTTCATTAGGTCAGTCCCCTATCAAGACGTTTGCTAAACATACCTCCCTTTTGAGGAAAAACATTTCTAGCTTCTGATCAAACTCCCTGTGCAAATTTCACTCTGATTTAATTAGCCTTTTCTTCATTCGTCTTTTGAGTTACTGAGACGTAATAATAAACCTGATGGCACCCAGAGTAGATTCATTCAATAAATGCTCATCCAACGGCTTCTGAAATCCTTGAATTTGTGAAATAAATGAGAAGTCGGTGGTGTGGGTTTCCTTTTTATCACATCTGTATTTAATCGCTTTGTTTAATGCATTACTTAGAAAACTCCAGGGGTTGACTCGCTAACTCCTCCGCAGTACACGCTTTCTTGATCGAAAAGTTTAGCCGGGATGTTTGGACTTATACTTAAGTGGTTGGATGTACACAAGTCTCTGTGGCTTTCACAAAATTAGGGGTTCAAAGCGTGAAATCTGTAGGACAACTGCTGAGGAACTGCTCTTAATTGAAAGTCCGTTTTTTAGGTATTTCTTTGAATTCGTGAATAGGATATCCATTTTATTCTGTATAAGAGTTGGTCGTGTCAAGTGCATATTAGACAATTATGGTACTCCTAAGAATACTGCGAAGGGTGGTTAAAAATTGCAGTAATTATTTGCCACAAATGTCAGGGAAGGTCTGCATCCTTTGCGAATGAAACTGTGGAAGGTTATTTCTGCGCGAAAATTTGACAGTGTAAGACATACTTTAAATAACTGCTTACTTTTAGAAATGTGAAAGTAGGTTATTCGCCACTACTGGAACTCGCGTTTATGATGTACGAGAAGTTTTGGCAGAGTCGTTGAATATGAGAAGAAAGCCGTTCAGGGGGACAAAACCAAAAGATGGAAAATTAGCACACTTTCATAGAAAACGCCCGTCATTGTAGAGCAAATGAAATTGCACGATGGACGCTTGGAAACTGAATCGAGCGACAGCGCCGTGCACTAACCCAATTAGACGATTAATCTTCGATCAACGGCTGGTTCCCCTGCAGATTCTCTATCGATGGACCAGGAATGTACCTCAGCGAACTCTGGACGTGCGCATTATTTTTGGCATCGAGGGTTTCTCGAAGGATGAAACCCAAATGTCTCTTTTCCACATGTCTCAAACCGTCACCACGGCAGCGCAGATCCTTCGCAAGGTTTCACGCATTCGGTTGTTTTTGAATTCTGCATGTTGGGCTCCAGGTATCTGATTTTGTTTCAGTTCATTTATCCATTCATGTGTGTTATTATCTAGAAAGACCATATGATTATAGGATTGGCGATTGTCGGCCTGATGACCTTCCTCGTTTGAGCAAGGGTGTTTGGTGCTTCACGTTGCAAGATATGAAGCAGATTATTTTCACCTACGCACCATATAATATGCTATGCGCAATATTCAGCATAACTGGCTGGTCATTTTATTAAATCAGACTTACAGCGAATACCCGGCTGACCAGGTTATTGAATATCCAATATATGCGAACAGGAATTCATTTCTATGTGTTCACCAGAATACTGGTAATAAGCCAAGAGTGTCTGAAATGCTGCTCTACTATCACAGCTCGTTTGGTGTTCAGACGTTCAGCAGCAGTTCAAACACCGGGCAATATTGCGATGCGTTAGACGATAGTCAACTCTTACAGCGGGATGAGGTAAGGCTTCCTGACCTTCGCTAATAGATAAGACGTAAATTACAAATGCTGTGAAAATGGAGTGAAGATGAATTTCAAAGGCTTTCACGACGGTAGAATATTGTCAGGAAAGAAATGCTACCATAATACAGTCATGAAACTCACCCGTACCATGATTACAGTGAGCACGGGTCGCGGTTATTATTTCAGGTGCCGAAATAATGCATTTTAGCTAAGCGCGTTGAGCATACCGCTGCATGGTTCACATTTGACAGGGGAGCGGTTTTACACGTGCAACCTACTGATGATTCTTCTTCCGATGATTTCATTCATCACCGAAATGCGCATGGTCTACTGGCAAAGTATTTTCCACTCAGCAGATGGCTTGTTCGTTTTCGAGGAGGCCTAGTAAGAGGTAATACTCTGAGTTCTCAAGCCT